ATGCCTTCTATGCTAATATTAAGGGGTAGCACTGTTTTATCAGGTCCGAATGACGGTCTTCTGAGGCTACGGAAAGTGTTAACATTCCTTGTAAAAAAATTGTTAAACAAAAGGCCTAAAAAAATTGAAAATTATAACGAATTTAAAGTCTCTAGAAAGTTGCCAAACCCGCAAAAAAGGGCAGGTGCACTTTTCGATGAATAGTGGCAGATTATCTTTTATATCTTGCTTGAAACTAGGTTTTCAGGCTTCCAGTTAATCGGATATGTAAGATGTGTACAGTTTATTTCATTTAAGGTAATGAAGTACTGGTGATTGAATTTTCCCACAATGTCTGCTCAGATCATTGTGGGAAAATTAAACTACCACCTACCCTAGCCTATCACCTTAAATGAAATAGTGTGAACAAATCTCATATACATTTTATATCTCCCATCGAACTTCGTTTAACTCCACCAATCTATTACACATATCCAAACAACCTAGCTCCTCTGATTGGCTCTTTCTATTGATATGACAACATATAGAAGACACCTTACGCCGAAATTGCGTGCTTTGTGCTGCTCTCACAAAATATAAAAAGGATCAAACTGATGGATTATGCTAGAATACGTCTTCTCAAGATCTGCTTTCATACGTTCGAACAGCGTAAAACTGAAGACGGTCATGATAGTATATACAGGAGCTCAAACTATTGAAGAAATAATGTCTCAAAATCACTGCTAAGCAATGGTCTATTTAGTAGTATTAGTATCGTAAATAGGTTGACCTATCATCGGCGGATATAGCAAATGGAGTGGTCAGCCCGGCTGTTGGAGCATTTTTTTCATCATCCTAGGCAAACAGCCAAAGAATATTTTGTAATCGGCTGTGATCATGTCAGAATCGCATTGAATTAACCAAGTTTACGAGATATCATCCCTCGTTTCGGGCGTTAGGGATTATGCTGATTTGTGGCAGGTTTTGCATACATACGTTAAGACACACACATATGCGCACGCACGCACACACACACGCGTGCACTAGTATATGAGAATTAACCAAACTTATCTATATCCATATATATCTTTAAAATATTTCCTTTTTATGACTATGCATATCAAGTAGGAAGGAGTCAGTCATTTTTCATGATGTAGTTTTAACTTGAAACGTTTGCAATAATGAGTCTAATCTTGGATGATGTTCGTCATATGGCAAGCCAAAACCCGGCCAGTTTTTTCCTCAAACAAGGGAATATGTCTCGTAGACTGCGTAAAACAGAACGCTTTGTCAAGCCAAATAACTGCAAAACAGTGAGAATCATCCGCCGTCTTTTGGTGAGATTTACTTACGAATATTTTTATCATACACCTTCATACGAAATCATAGTCTCCGCAACAATTTTATCTCCGGAGCTTCTTCGAAACCTGCTTTTCCTCCAATATAAAAGTGGTGAGATAACGTAGAAAGCCATTTTGTACTTTTGTTGAGTATATTTAGCTTTCTTATATCCCTCTCAAAGGGTAGATAACAATATTTTGAGAACATAAAATAGAAATAATAAGTGGGGAGAAAACGACAAAGTAGGAAATCTTGTCTGCAGCATTTATGTCATAAGGAATTTTAGTTTTAACTTATCATTAACAAAAAAAAGATCCCTCTATCTGATCACAGAGGAGATTGCCTGAAGCTGAATCACCCATTCGTATTAGGTGTCTTTCCCTTTGAAACTCGTAGGACTCGGCCGATGACCTGAGGTCGCCTAGGATGATATTTCCGCAAAAATATCCTACTACCTTTTTTCATAATTAATAACAAACTTGCCAAGCCTCATAGATTAAATGAGGCGTTTCCTAATATTCCTACAAGTACAGATTGAAATTGTACTTAATGGCTAGGGAAAAAATGTTTAGCACAAACCTATCGGGTGCAAGTACCTTTCTTTTCTGTATCTTGTTTCAGCTTAGTTTTAGTCAACCTTCAAAAATGTACTTATTTCTATTCAAAGCTAAAGTCTGAAATAATGGAGTTTTTATGTTGTTGTCACCAGAAGGTAATTGAATAGTCTATCCTGTCCGCAATATAATTATCAACAGACTTGTTTCCGAGAAAAAAGCAATGTTCCAGACAGTGTCTGACTTGGAGGATACTGTTTTTGGTCTCCTTCTATTATATGACAGATAGCTTTGGGGCAAGCTTGAATGTGTGGGTGTAAATTTGCACCCTTATTTGGTCAAAGGGGCGAATTTGCAAACGATATAAGGAGAGAAAATCCATTGAGATGTTCTTGCGTTTGCCACCACGAGACAGTAGAGTGACTATACCTTGAATAGAGGCAGGTTAACATGTCGACTATACCGGGGCGAATGTGCTTTGTGCGATTCCAGCGATACGTATAAAGTGGGATGTCTAATGAGTAAGAGAGCATAGTTATAAGTTCTTAAATATTTGAAGACGCTAATGAAACTACCAAAGGAGCAATAAAGCATTTTACATTTATAAAAGTTGCAAAATATGATCACATTATGGAAATATTATACTCTCAGAATGATGGCCTTGGCAGTGACAAATCGAAGAAGAGATTTGCTTTTGCCACAGAATTTGATGTGCGAGTTATCCAAAAAGTGGGCAATTCGCTATTATTAACCACGATTTGGATGTGACTATGCCTAATGCGGACAGCTATCAAGAGTCGAAATAGGATAAACCTTAGCGAGATGGATGGAAATCTTCTTGAAACTATCAAGTTTCACTTCTTCTCTCCTCTCAAAACGATTCATTAGCAAGGCTGAGCCACATTTTTTGGGTCACTTCAGAATATTCACTAGACTCTCGCATCAAGCTAGAACGTAAGCGGTCGGTGTCATAGGATCACAGGCAAGATATGACTTTCGAGGCAGACCACATTTATCCTAAACTAAAGAAATAGTGAGCACTTCGATGTGGCAAGCTCTTTTTTGTCATTGCATTCAACGGCATCACGATAAGAGTTAAGGCACTCTTTAGATTATCATTACTTCTCAAATAAGACCTCCATTCGCATACTTTGGCCTATAATTCTTATTTACTGAGAGTTTACTCATATTTA